TATATTTAAAAATAATGAAAAGGCCATAACTATATTGTTTGCAACACAAAGAAGGGATAATACTGGAGGTGATGGATACCTCATTTACCCTAATGTGATTATTACACACGATATGCCTGTATCAAAGTATCTCATGTACCCCATAAATATATACACCTATGTACCCATAGGACTATAAAATTAAAAAGTAAAATATAGAAGATGGCCAAAAAGGAAGAGCTCTGGTCTGCAGTTCCCAGTGAGAGCGCACCAGAAGACGAGTGATCTCCACATTTCCAACTGAGGTACCAGGTTCTTCTCATTGGGACTTGTTAGACAATGGGAACAGCCCAGGTGGGCAAGCCAAAGCAGGGTGGGGCATAGCCTCACCCAGGAGGTGCAAGGAGCCAGAGAACTCTCTCTCCCAGCAAAGGGGAGCCATTAGGGACTTTTCCAGACACTCCAGCACTCCAGCTGAAGCCAGGGGGCCAAGAGAGCTGGTTTAGTGGGTCCCACCCCCCACAAGGACTGGCAAGCTAAGATCCACTGGCTTGAAATTCTTGCAGCCAGCACAGCAGTCTAAGCTAGACCTGGGATGTTTAAGATTGGTTGGGGGGAGGGGTGACTGCCATTGCTGAGGCTCCAGTAGGCAGTTTCAACATTGCCTGTAGATTCCCTTTTTGCTGGGCAGGGCATCTCAGGAAAAAAAGACAGTAGCCCATCAGGGACTTACAAAGCCCCAACTTCCTGGGACAGAGCACCTGGGAAAAGGAACGGTTGTAAGTTCTGCTTCAGCAGTCTTGAACAACCTTGCCTGGCAGCCTTGAAGGGAGCAATGCATCCCCCAGCACAGTGTTTGAGCTCCATTAAGGGATAGGCTGCCTCCTCAAGTGGCTCCCTGAACCCCTGTGTATCCTAACTAGAGGACACATTATACAGGAGAGGCTCTGGCTGACATCTGGCAGGTACTCTTTTGGGATGAAGCTATCAGGGGAAGGAAGAGACAGCAACCTTTGCTGTTCTGCAGTCCCCATGGGCAATTTCCAAATAAGCAGGTTCTGAAGTGGACCTCCAGCAAACTCCAGCAGACCTGCCGCAGGGGGGCCTGACTATTAGAAGGAAAACTAACAAACAGAGAGAAATCAACAGAAAGGACGTCCACTCAGAAATCTCATCCAAAAGTCACAAACTTCAAAGACCAAAGATAGATAAGCCACAAAGATGGGAAGGAACCAGTGCAAAAAGGCTGAAACCGCCAAAGCCAGAATGCCTCTTCTCCTCCAAGGGATCACAAACCCTCCCCAGCAAGAGAACAAAACTGGGTGGAGAATGAGTGTGACAAATTACAGAAGCAGGCTTCAGAAGGTAGGTAATAGCAAACTGCTCTAAGCTAAAGGAACATGTTCTAATCCAATTCAAGAAATCTAAGAACCATGAAAATAGGTTAGAAGAAACGCTAACAAGCATAACCAGCATGGAGAAGAACATAAATGACATGATGGAGCTGAAAAACACAGCACAAGAACTTTGTGAGGCGTTCACAAGTTTAAATAGCTGATTTGATCAAGCTGAAGAAAGGATATCAGAGACTGAAGATCAACTCAATGAAATAAAGTGAGAAGGCCAGATTAGAGAAAAAAGAGTGAAACGAAATGAGCAATGTTACCAAGAAACATGGGATTATGTGAAAAGGCCACATCTACATTTGATCAGTGTACCTGAAAGTGACAGGGAGAATGAAACCAAGTTGAAAAACACTCTTCAGGATATTATCCAGGAGAACTTCCACAACCTAGCAAGGCAGGTCAACATTCAAATACAGGAAATACAGAGAACACCACAAAGGTATTCCTCAAGAAGAGCAACCCCAAGGCCCATAATTGTCAGATTCACCAGTGTTGAAATGAAGGGAAAAAATGCTAAGGGCAGCCCAAGAGACAGGTCCAGTTGCCCAAAAAGTGAAGCCCATCAGACTCACAGTGGATCTCTTGGCAGGGACCCTACAAGTCAAAGGAGAGTGGGGGCCAATATTCAACATCCTAAAATAAGAGAACTTTCAACCCAGAATTTCATATCCAGCTAAACTAAGCTTCATAAGTGAAGGAGAAATAAAATTCTTTACAGACAAGCAACCGCTGAGAGATTTCATCACCACCAGGCCTGCCCCACAAGAGCTCCTGAAAGAAGCACTACACATGGAAAGGAACAACCAGTACCAGCCACTGCAGAAACACCAAACTGTAAAAATCATCAACACTATGAAGAAACTGCATCAACTAATGGGCAAAACAACCAGCTAGCATCAAAATGGCAGGATTAAATTCACAATATTAACCTTAAATGTAAAGGGGCTAAATGCCCCAATCAAAAGACACAGAATTAAAAATTGGATAAAAATTTTGGATAAAAATTTGGATTAAAAAAAATTCAAGACTCATTACTGTGCTGTATTCAGGAGACTCATCTCACATGCAAAGATACACATAGGCTCAAAATAAAGGGATGGAGGAAGACTTACCAAGCAAATGGAGCACAAAAAAAGCAGGGAGCAATCCTAGTCTCTGATGATACAGACTTTAAACCAACAAAGATCAAAAGAGACAAAGAAGGGCCTTACATAATGGTAAAGGGATTAATGCAACAAGAAGAGCTATCCTAAATGTATATGCACCCAATACAAGAGCACCCAGGTACATAAAGTAGGTTCTTAATGAACTACAAAGAAGCCTAGACTCCCACATCATAATAGTGGGAGGCTTTAACACCCCACTGTCAATGGGTTTGGGGTGCAGAGGAGCTCTAGTGTTTGTGGGCTCCAGGTTCTTTGTCTGTTGGTGTCCCAAAAATGGGAGAAGGGACCACAGCAGGTGCAGTACCCTTGTAAAGTAAATACCAGACCCCCAAAACTATTTGCAGAAAGTGGTTTGCTTAGGCAGAGAAAGAGAAAAAAGAGAGAGAAAAAGATGAGAGAGAAAAAGGCTTCCACGAAGAGTGTGGAAAGAGACCCAATTATGGAAACCAGAAGGGGAAAGGCAGCTTCCATGAGGGTGGAAAGGGAACCTAGAGGGGGAAATCTGCCTGGATGAGGGAGATAGGGACTTTTAACTATGGGAGGAATTCCCACTTTCTCCAAGCCCCCTGGCCAATGAAGAGTTTCCTCAAATTTCCGCTGGAGTTATTTACTTTTGATTCTTTCCCTTGCCCACGAAAATTAAACAGAAACTGTTAAATCTCCCGGATGGAGTGGCTTGGAAAGGGGGTGCATAGTGCTGGCAATTTCCTTCCCTTGAAACTACGCCTCCTGGTGGATCCAGAAAGAGAACACCTTCCTTCATCAACACTAGACAGAGGAACGAGACAGATTAACAAGGATATCCAGGACATGCACTCAGATCTGGACCACGAGACCTAATAGACATCTACAAAACTCTCCACCCCAAAACCACAGAATATACATTGTTCTCAGCATCACATCACACTTATCCTAAAATTGACCACATAATTGAAAGTAAAGCACTCCTCAACAAATGCAAAAGAACAAAAATTATAACAAACAGCTTCTCAGACCACAATGCAATCAAATTAAAACTCAGGATCAAGAAACACACTGAAGAATGCACAACTACATGGAAACTAAACAAACTGGATAAATAATACAATGAAGGTAAAAATAAAGACGTTCTTCAAAACCAACAAGAATGAAGAAACAACATACCAGAGTCTCTGAGACACATTTAAAGCAGTGTCTAGAGGAAAATTTATAGCACCAAATGCCCATCAGAGAAGTGAGGAAACATACAACTGACACTCTAACGTCATCATTAAAAGAACTAGAGGAGCAAGATGAAACAAATTCACAAGCTAGCAGAAGGCAAGAAATAACTAAGATCAAAGCAGAACTGAAGAAGATAGAGACACAAAAAAACCTTCAAAAAATCAGTGAATCCAGGAGCTGGTTTTTTGAAAAGATCAACAAAATAGATAGACTGCTAGCCAGACTAATAAAAAAGAAAAAAGAGATGATTCAAATAGATGCAATTAAAATTGATAAAGGGGATATCACCACTGATCCCACAGAAATACAAAATACCATCAAAGATTACTGCAAACACTTATATGCATATAAACCAGTGAATGTAGAAGAAATTGATAAATTCCTGGACACTTACACCCTCCCTATACTAAACCAGGAAGAAGTTAAATCCCTGAATATACCAATAACAAGGTCTGAAGTTGAGGCAGCAATTAATAGCCTACCAACCAAAAAAAATAGTCTAGGACAAGACAGGTTCACAGCCAAATTCTACCAGAGGTACAAGGCAGAGATGGTACCATTCCTTCTGAAACTATTCCAAACAATACAGAAAGAGAGAATCCTTCCAAACTCATTTTATGAGAAAAACATCATCCTGATACCAAAACCCAGCAGAGACACGACTAAAAAAGAAAATATCAGGCCAATATTCATGATGAACATCGATATGAAAATCAATAAAATACTGGCAAATCAAGTCCAACAGCACATCAAAAAGTTTATCCATCTCCATCAAGTAGGCCTCATCCCTGGGATGCAAGACTTGTTCAACATCTGCAAATCTATAAATGTAATCCATCACATAAATGGAACCAAAGACAAAAACCACATGATTATCTCATTTGATGCAGAGAAGGCCTTTGACAAAATTTAACATCCCTTTATGCTAAAAACTCTCAATAAACTAGGTATTGATGGATTGTATCTGAAAGTGAAAAGAGATATTTATGATAAATCCATAGCCAATATTATACAGAATGGGCAAAAACTGGAAGCATTCCCTTTGAAAACTGAAACAAGACAAGGATGCCCTCTCTCACCACTCGTACTCTACGTAGTATTAGAAGTTCTCACTAGGGCCATCAGGCAAGAGAAAGAAATAAAGGGTAATCAAATAAGAAGAGAGGATGTCAAATTATCTCTGTTGGCAGATGATATGATTGTATATTTAGAACACCCCATCGTCTCAGCCCAAAAAGTACTTTAGCTGGTAAACAACTCCAGAAAAGTCTTGGGATACAGAATCAATGAGCAAAAATCACAAGCATTCCTATACACCAATAACAGACAGAGAGCCAAATCATGAGTGAACTACCATTCACAATTACTATAAAGAGAATAAAATATGTAGGAATACAACTAACAAGGGATGTGAAAGACCTCTTCAAGGAGAACGACAAACCATTACTCAAGGAAATAAGAGAGGACACAAATAGATGGAAAAACATTCCATGATCATGGTTAGGAACAATCAATATTGTGAAAATGGCCATGATGTCCAAAGTAATTTATATATTCAATGTTATTCCCATCAAGCTACCAATGATTTTCTTCACAGAACAAGAAAAAAACACCTTAAATTTTATATGGAACTAAAAAAGAGCCTGCATAGAGAAGACCTTCCTAAGGGGGGGGGGGGAAGCTAGAAGCATCATGCTACCTGACTTCAATCTATATTACAAGGCTACTGTAAACAAAACAGCATGGTACTGGTACCAAAACAGAGATATAGACCAATGGAACAGAACAAAGGCCTCAGAAAGAACATCACACAACTACAGCCATCTGATCTTTGACAAACCTAACAAAAACAAGCAATGGGGGAGGGATTCCCTGTTTATTAAATGGTGTTGGGAAAACTGGATAGCCATATGCAGGAAGCTGAAACTGGACCCCTTTCTTACACCTTATGCGAAAATTAACTCCAGATGGATTAAAGATTTAAACATGAGGCCTAACACCATAAAAACCCTAGAATAAAACCTAGACAATACTGTCAGGGCAAAGACACAGGCAAGGACTTTGTGACTAAAACACCAAAAGCAGTGGCAATAAAAGCCAAAATAGACAAATAGGATCTAATTAAACTTAAGAGCTTCTGCACAACAAAAGAAACTATCATTGAAGTAAACCAGCAACCAACAGAATGGGAAAAATTTTTTGCCATCTACCCATCTGACAAAGGACTAATATCCAGAATCTACAAAGAACTAAAATTCATTTATGAGAAAAAACCAACCCCATCAAAAAGTGGGTGAAGAATATGAACAGACACTTTTCAAAAGAAGACATTTATGCAGCCAACAAACATATGAAAAAAAGCTCATCATCACTAGTCATTAGAGAAATGCAAATCAAAACCACAGTGAGATACCACCTCACGCCAGTTAGAACGGCAATCATTAAAAAATCAGGAGACAACAGATGCTGGTATGGATGTAGATAATTAGAAATGCTTTTACACTGTTGGTGGGAGTATAAATTAGTTCAACCATTGTGGAAGACGGTGTGGCAATTCTTCGAGGTTCTAGAAATAGAAATATCATTTGACCCAGCCATCCCATTACTGGGTATATACCAAAGAAATACAAATCATTCTATTATAAAGACATGTGCACACGTATGTTTATTGTGGCACTGTTCACAATAGCAAAGACTTAGAACCAACCCAAATGCTGATCAATGATAGACTGGACAAAGAAAATGTGGCACATATAAACCACAGAATACTATGCAGCCATAAAAAAGGATGAGTTCATATCCTTTGCAGGGACATGGATGAGATTAGAAACCATCATTCTCAGCAAACTGACACAAGAACAGAAAACCAAACACTGCATGTTCTCACTCATAAGTGGGTGTTGAACAATGAAAACACATGGACACAGGAAGGGGAACATCACACACAGGAGCCTGTGGGGTGGAGGCTGGGGAGGAAAAGCAGGGGGTGGAGGGTTGGGGAGGGGTAGCATTAGGAGAAATACCTAATGTAGATGATGGGGCAATGGATGCAGCAAACCACCGCCAAGGCATGTGTATACCTATATAACAAACCTGCACAATCTGCACATGTACTTCAGAAATTGAAGTATAATAAATAAATTTAGAAATAAAAATAAAAATATATATACAAAAAATAAAAACAACAAAACATGTGTTTAGGGAAACATTGTCATTTAAATTAAGGTTTAAGCAAATGTAGATTATGAGCCTGTGAAATCACTCTAGGTAAAATGAAACACCCGTCACTTGAGTTTATCTGAGAAAGAAAGTTGTTTTGAGGCCCTCACTTCACAGATAAAACTATTCCAACACTCTTCCCCTCAATATCTGTAACCTCTACCATTATTTTTCTCTGTCTCTCCTCTGTAGCTATGTGTGTTATTTAGAGATACACCTACATTCCCAACTGGAAGCCAGATTTCAGCTCTTCCTTAAGTCTACTTTCACCATATATGCCATGTATTTATAATTTCTATGAAAACTAGTGGAGGAAGTTTCACTTAAAACTCATGCATGTCAACCATTTTCAATTATTACACTTGAATATCAAAATCCCACCTTGTGACTTTTCCCAGTAAGATCAGCCAGGTAAATGGAATGCATTCTCTCCTGACTGTGATCATTGACAAAGGAAATGGAATTTGTTGGGCTGGATAGCTTTTTCATCATCCACTGGAATTCCAATAAATAAAAATATCTTCATCTTGTATCAGTAATAACTGTATTGATGCAAGCAAGTATTAGTGTCTTTAGAGAAGTATGAGACAGCCAGCAGTTAGGCAATTATGCACAAAGAAACAATACAGGAAAAGTTAAAATCAATTTAGATGAAACTTTTAGCTCTACTAGGCCATTAGTTTCAGTATCTAGTAGAGAACAAGAACTAGTATTTCATATATCAAAATATACTATATAATGTTTAAAGTTTATTGCCCCAATTACAGCTATTTCCTTAGCCTTTTAAATTGCTGTATGTTCTACATAATTCATAATATTAATAACAATATTAAATGAAATGGAAGACATACAAATATTTTAACATAAAAAGGCATTTTCTTGCTTATAAAAGTAAGCAATTTTTTGCAGAAAATTATTTGAAAGAGAAACAATAGAATCTGAACATAGAACCTTAATAAAAATGAAAAAATTTGGTTTTAAATTTTATTTTATTATCTATTGATTTTGTAATATTTTTCTTCTTCCACATGTTAACTTGATAAAATAGTTATGATTTTCTAAAATTAAATTATTATAGTCCTGGGATACATTATTCTTGTTTGTAGTGTTGAGTTAATGCCCTTCTAGGCTTTAAGTAAAAATTGTATTTAACATATTTTAATTTTCATTAATAGGTAAACAAAAACATTTTCTTACACTACTGCTTCAGTTTTGTATCAGAAGAATAGTAACAGTAAAAGAATTGATAAGACTGAAACTGTTACAGAACTGTCTAGTAGCAAAATCATTGTGTTTTAATCATTTGAAATAACTTCCTTATCATATTGTTTAGAAAGAAAAATTTTTAATAAAATTATTTTATATCACTTGTTCCTTTTAAATTTTGTCTAAATTGATACATTCATTTATTCAAGAAATGTTTGAGTGCAGTTCAGTAAGTCTCAATTTATTCTTCTTATTATTATTATTGTACTTTGAGATCTGGGGTACATGTGCATATCCTGCATCCTGAAGAATTGTTGCATAGGTACATACATGCCATGGTGGTTTGCTGTCTCCATCCCCTATTGCCTACATCAGGCATTTTCCTGATGTTATCCCTCCCCAACCTCCCCACCCTCTGCCATCCCTCCTCTCCCCTCCTCCCCACCCCCCAACATGCCCCAGTAAGTTTTGTTCACTTCCCTGTGCCCAAGTGTTCTCATTGTTCATCACCCAGGTAGCGTGATGCCTCCAGCTTTGCTCTTTTGCTTAAGATTGTCTTGGCTATGCAAGCTTTCTTTTGGTTCCATATGAAGTTTAAAGTGGTTTTTTCCTGTTCTATGAGGAAGGTCATTGGTAGTTTTATGGGGATAGGGTTGAGTCTGTAAATTACTTTGGGTAGTATGGCCATTTTCACAATATTGATTCTTCCTAACCATGAGCATGGAACGTTTTTCCATCTTTTTGTGTTCCTTCCTATTTCCTTGATCAGTGGTTTGTAGTTGTCCTTGAAGAGGTTTTTTAGATCCTTTGTTAGTTGCATTCCTAGGTATTTTATTCTCTTTGTAGCAATTGTGAATGGTAGTTTACTCATGATTTGGCTCTCTGTTTGTCTGTTATTGGTGTATAGGAATGCTTGTGATTTTTGCACATTGATTTTGTATCCTGCAACTTTGCTGAAGTTGCTTATCAGTTAAAGGAGGTTTTGGGTGGAGACAATGGGCTGTTCTAGATATGTCATCATGTCATCTGCAAATAGGGATATTTGACTTATTCTTTTCCTAATTGAATGCCCTTTATTTCTTGTTCTTGCCTAATTGCTCTGGCTAGGACTCTCAATACAATATTGAATAAAAGTGGTGAGAGAGGGCATCCTTGTCTGGCACCAGTTTTTAAATGGAATGCTTCAAGTTTTTGCTCGTTCAGTTTGATATCGGCTGTGGGTTTGTCATAAGAGAACAAAGACACAATGTACCAGAATCTATGGGACACATTTAAGGCAGTGTCTAGAGGGAAATTTATAGCAATAAATACCCACATGAGAAACAGGGAAAGATCTAAAATTGACACCCTATCATCAAAATTGAAAGAGCTAGAGGAGCAAGATCAAAAAAACCTCAAAGCTAGCAGAAGACAAGAAATAACTAAGATCAGAGCAGAACTGAAGGAGGTTGAGACACAAAAAAAACCCTTCAAAAATCAATAAATCCAGGAGATGGTTTTTTGAAGAGATCAATAAAATAAACCACTAGCTAGACTAATAAAAAAGAAAAGACAGAAGAATCTAATAGATGCAATAAAAACAACAAAGGGGGGATCACCACCAATTCCTTGGAAATACCAACTATCTTCAGAGATTACTACAAACAGTTCTATGCACATAAACCAGTAAATCTAGAAGAAATGGATAAATTCCTGGACTCTTGCACACTCCCAAGACTAAGCCAGGAAGAAACTAAAACCCTGAATAGATCAATAACAAGGACTGAAGTCAGGGTAGCAATTAATAGCCTACCAACCAAAAAATGTCCAGGTCCAGGTAGGCTCACAGCTGAATTCTACCAGACGTACAAAGAGGAGCTGGTATCATTTCTTTTGAAACTATTCCAAACAATACAAAAAGAG